TAGTATGGATTACTAAAACAATTTTTTTCTCTGTTCGTAAATTAATACATTTTCTTTCTTTATCTATATTTTCTGTCGCCGTTAGAAATAGATTCTTTTCGCTGTGCACTGTCGATTTTGGACCACAGAAAGTTCACACAAAGCGTGGGCCTACCATCGAATGCTACAACGAAAGCATTTGTCCGAGTAATTACCACTGCAATTATCACTTAGACAAGCAACGGTTCGGGTCCTCGCTAACAAGCGGCTGCCTTCGTACCGCGGCACCCCTCGGCCGATCGTAATTATCGATAAGGCTACACTAATTGCGAGGGCAGATATCGTTTCATTATCTTAATGCGGCTTCGATGACGCGTAGTTACTGCACACCATAAACTTCGTACAGTACCATAAGGGTAACAACATCAACAAACAGGTAAACTTCTAGGCGGTTCTCTGTTTTTTAAACGTGTCCTATACTAGGAAATAAATCTTATGTTACGATGTCTCATGCACATGAAAGGGCAAGGACAAGGCGCACCTAGGCTCGAAACAACAAATTAACGGATTACGAAGTTTTTTGCGCGGAGAACGAAATCAGAATTCTTTTCCGACAATTTTTTTTTCGTTTTTATTAGCGACGATGTCAACGATTAATGCCCGGTTCCCATATTCAACGAACGGCCGTTACACTGCTTCGTAACTTTCATAACGACTTGTAGATCAAAGGCTTGTACGCCCGGTCCCTATTTTAACAAAACGGGGCGTTTTTCTTACGAGCCGTAGCATTACCTACGGAGATAAACAAACACTATTTTCATATGAAGTATACTTGTACTTAATTATGAAGTAAACTTCGTTGTAATACTTTCCAAATTGGTCTAGCATTTATAAAGCCAAGTTCGCCAGAGGCTTACAATATTAAGTTTAAATAATATTTTTAAAAACCATTCCATCGGACTCGAAGCGAACTTTTAGCAGCGACGCGTTCATTGTCGTTACGAAAACCGATAATTATCGTAAAATTAACATTTGCATAGAATGCGATCATCGCGACATGACAGCAGAAGGTTATGTGAACTAAATTAGTATGATTAAAGACAATATCGACCCAGTTAATCGGTTGCGGACTCTAGCGCTGGACGAAAATGGCCCTTATGTTAGTGCGATAAGTTTCAAGAGCCGATAAATGTCGCAGAATGTATGCTAACGGCGCAACTTAGCCCCAGCTCCCGCTCATGTACAATGTATCGTAAATTCCAGGAGTATAATATTTTAGTTTTTATTGCGGAAAGGCTTATTTTATTACATCAACATCGCAGAGGGCAAGCCGGCTTTGTTTGTAAATTTTTAAGAGACGAGGTCTATTCCAAATCGCTTGCGGTGAAGATAGGAGAGATTTTTTTTATGTGAGAAGGTGGCAAATGAGCTGGTGGTTCATTTAATGTTGAGTGGCAACCGCCGCCCATTGAAATTTGAAACACTCGTTTTGTTGCCAATGCCACCTTTTAGAGAAGACGAAACGTAGAAGTATAAAACTTCCACTTCGCGCCGGTCTTCCGTGAGGTCGTGGTACTTACCCGGACGGGCCTGCCCATTCGTGCAATAGAGAAGTACATATTAAAATCTTAGTATATTATTAGTATATAGCTTGTTTTCCGGAATATCAAATTAAAACTGACATACTTGAACAATCTTAGTTCACATAGCTGTGTTGGCAGATTCTGTACCATGAATTGTTAAATGCAATTTTGAGTGATCATTAAACACGTCATTGGCAACGATAAATAGCACGGCGAGGAAACATGCATCATAAATGAAGTTATTTCGAAGATACTTGAACTTTTAGGGGTTGAAAAGCTCGAACACTTTTTATACTGTTTAAATAAACCTTCATAGTAGCTTATCATTATAATATTTTACTAGACAAACTGAATGTTTTTCAGTATCACCTCGGGTAAAGGAAATTATTGCCAAATATGAGTTATTTTCCTGTGAAACATAGTTCATTAATTCCTACATTTCTCATCATACACTACTACCCTAACTTCACTATTAATATAAAAAATTGCTTTGTGTACATTTCAACGTGTTTAAGTGTAAATATATCAAAGAGATATTGAAACTTTTTTTAAATTCCTTTGATGATTTTAGAATAGCTATTGGCTTTATTTTACTTTTCAATTTCATTGTAAGTATCAAAAATGGATCTAATTCGTCATTACAATTTCGCAGTGTTCAGTAAACTTGATGCGAATAAAAATTGACACAAAGAATCCTCAGTGGTTTTGATCTCACCGCAACATTCTTGCATACCGAGTCCATAATAATATCGATTACCATATCATTAACTAGTTGCTGCCCGCAGCTTTGCTCCCGTGGAATTACAATTCGTGGATCGTCAGTTAGCTTAAATACATAGAATTAAGCTTCAGATCAATCTCACGGGAACCGTGCATTTCGCAAGATAAAAGTTAGCCTATACCCATAAAAACTTTCGAAGCTAATATTATCTTGATCCGTTTCTTCAATACGGGAGGACAACAAAACCAACACGTTCACGTTCCTGTGCATAATATTAGTGAAGTATTTAATAAAGCATCGTATGACCAGCGCTATGCTAAATCGTATAAGTTTGTTAAGAAATAATGATGATGACGATGATGAATAGTTTTACTTATTGTATATTAAATAAATATTTCAACGCGGAAGCCATGCAACGACGTCCGTGTATGAAATCGCATCAATACGCACACTTTCATTGGACGCAACCGGTTGTGAGAGAACTGTAGCAATCTTTATATGGGTATATCATTTTTAACATCGCACCGACGTAACCCAACCGTTATTGTTGTAATGATCATAACATAAGTAATGGCTCGTGAAATAATGATCGTTCATCGTGTACAGTCCTCCGCTCAAGTCTGGGTATTAATTAAAATGAAACTTCGCCATATAAAATGTGGGTCAGGATCAAGAAATATTAACCAAGAAATTACAGAAATGATATCGGTTGTCAGTCAGATAATGTTGCTAATTTTTGCATGAATTTGTCAGCTTTTTAATTGTCATCATTATTTTTATTATTGTGTCAACTAATAATGACAGATATCATGTTAAGATAATATGTATAAGCTAAAAAAAATTATAAGCTTGATTCCATTTTGTGGACCAAAAACATGTTTTTATGACGTTATAGATATGTTACCTTATTCTTTTCATTAATTGAGAGCTGATCAATTTAAAAGAAATAATTATTTGTAAAAGTAAATTTATGATAAAAAGTGCAATGATTGGTAATTCATCTGCTACCCGTTAGGTGCTGTATATATCCATGAGCAGCGGCAATCAGGCGAACCACCGGATCGTTTGCCAACTTTTCAAATAAAAAAAGAAGAAAAAAAGTCTAACGTCGACTGCACGCGAATGTACCAACTTTATGAAAAGAACGTCAAACGCTCCACATTTCCCGCCTCATCAAAGCCTCACTACAACTTCGACACCTGAATTTTTTAGCGAGCGATCTCTCTCTGAGAGAGTACGATGACTCGATTGACAAGTTCTTTACTTGATCTCGTTTTGAAGGTTGACTTACAACTGATCCTTGTTCACTCTTTCACTTTGTACCGTCACTGCAAACGTTATCATTTCACAAGAAAAATACGAGTACAAGTTAAAAATAACTAATTAAATTGCCCAATAATAGAATTAAATGTTAATGCCCTTGTAAAAAATGAAGTGTCTTAAAAAGTAGACATATATCGAGCTGATAATTTAGAACACATGTAATATTTATTTATTTAATTTTTAAACGAATCATGTCCAGGCGCCTGCCTAATTGCCCTAAGCAATCTCCATGAGTTAACCTTAAAGATGGTCCAGAGATAAAAAATGTGCGTAAATAAAAAAAAGGATACTCATAAAAAGATAGAGCATATAATAATACTCACGCTGAATATCTGATATAGAAAAAAATTCTATAGTAGTACAATAATTTGTAAGAACTACTTCGTATTTATAAAATAAATTTATAACAATAAATTTTCTATGTTGCTCCTTTATATATATATCCCATTGATAAGCAAAGCGCCTCCTTTGTACAGAGAGTTTAAGAGCATAGTCCAACACGCGACACAAACGTTTTTTTTATTATTTCGAAAATAGGCACGACCTTAGTGCCGCCACCGTGACTCGAACTCAAAATAAAGAGCTCGCCTAGATTTAGCCATTATATTACATATTTTTTTTATTACGAACAAGATAGGTTTGTAAAAGTTTCTTCAAGATGTTTTCCTCTATCGCTTGTTACGTGGAACTTTAAATAGCTATCATCAATTTCCTTACATTATTGAGATTTGAACACAGGCTACTCAAGAATACTGAATTAAAGCGAGTGGCAGGATACTGAGCTACCATGGGTCTCGACTCACGACATGTATTCAACATTTGTTTTAGATTGTTGCGAAATGGGTTCGAATGGCATCCGTCCTTATTACGCGTTAAAACAGTTATTAGGAATGCAGATAGCATCGTGATCGCGAAATAAATAGCTGCCGTTATAATTATCCACTATTTGAAAACAATACCGCACTTAAAGTAGATCATAGTTTTTGATCAGAACCCGAAACGGCGCGAAACGCATTGCGCGTTATCTGTTTGTGTTGAGTTTCTTGTTTCAAATAGCTTATATTCAACTATTATTATAACGCCAGCTTTAAACATTGTGAAAAACTTGTTTAATATAAAGAATATTACACTGCAGTCTATTGTAGGATTATCTCTTTGACGAAAATGGGTAAATTGGTCTGATGGTAATTGATATCCATCGCCCATGGACATTGGCAACACCAAAATAGTAACAGTACGAAGATGCGTTTTTTATGAAAAGGATGATCTAATCAATAGTGACGTGAAAATTTCAAATTAATCCGAATCGGAGATTTATTATGTAGCGAATAATGCGATTGGAATTTTCTTCTTCTTCTTCTACCTTCTTCAATTAATTCCGGCTATTACCATTACTTGTTCCTCTGCGCTCGATTTTCAACATCCTCAGGGGTCAGTCCATTGGCTCCCATGTCCTGCATCACGACGTTGGAAGATAAAAGTTGAAAATTTTTCTGTGCAGCGAGTGATCTTATTTGTAACGTGGCGAACTCGTTGTCACGTTTTACGTGTAACGCAGCTGCATAATGGAAAGTTGAAACGAAAGAAAGAAAGTTAAAACGCTTCTTTTTCGCGAACGGGTTAATCTGTGAAACGAGAATAAGTTATTACAATATTTAAATACAATCAACATATAAAAATATTTGTGTTGGTGAAACGTAATATAATATATGCACGCTACGGTCAACGATAAGAGATGAAAACAACAAACAATTATTATATTTAATTGTTTGATCAATTATAGCACGTATTAATCTTAATTTCGTAATAGAGTTTCTTATACTTACGACGAAAAGGGGAGTGCAAGGTAACTGTTGAAAATCAATAACAATATCTTGCTTGTCACAACATCAATCGAAGACGCGTTAACATAACCTGGACAAGTTTGAAGAAAGTTGTGTTCTGATGTAATTGATAAGGCACGATTGTTAACTAGGGTCTTTGTTTTACCCTTTGTAGTCTAACCTAAATTTCAGATGTTTCGAATGCTATGTAGCTAATCGAAAAACTACTTTACCTGCGTGAATTATTAATGAAACATACAAGACCACACCAAACATGTCTTGGTGGCGCACTAGTTTGGTTATTGGATCTAAAGGATCGATGACACTAGAGTAAGTGATTTTTGTGACCCATGGACAATTAATTATTGAGGATCCGGGTATTTGTTTGGTTGAGTAGGGTTGATTAATTCACATGTTTTCCAGACCTCACCCAAATTTGATAACCGGAGGATCAGCTATCAAAAGAAGTCTTTTTAGTTTACAATTTTACATATCGTTCGTTTTAGATCCTACACACGACCCTTTCATAACAGATGTAGATGATTCGAGTCAGACGGTGGCTAGCAACACCAGATGTTTGCATACAATGCTAGGTCTTGGCAAGGCGGGCCAGATTATCTCACTCTGCGGAAGAAGCGGTGACATAATAAATGAAATATCACTCGCAACAGCGGACCGACAAAACAACCAACATGCATTGTTGATACGTGCACCGGTGATGCAATAATTACACAAACTGATCGCCAATGACGTAACGGCACCTTTCAAATCTCTAAGAGCGTGTTCACTCGATGGCCAAATGGAATCATCGACGTTACAATGTCTCTATTCTTCGACACGCTCGGCCTACCAGACGATTGGGCGTTAACTATGACGCCCAAAGTAGTTTTACTGCGGTAGTATCAACAGCTTCTGCTATTGCACGAGGAGCCTGCTCCTCTTTAGACGACCAGCGTGACTGATTATTGGGAACTTCACCGATATATTGAGTTTACATAAGGTCACATCTCAATTTCACATTGAAACAGGTCCATTTTCAACCGGCTTCAAAACAGGAGGAGTTTCTCTTTTCGACTGTATTTTTTATGTTTGATACCTCATAACTTACTACTTAGTGAACAGATTTTGATGATTCTTTATTTTATTTGAAAGCCGTGCATGGTGCTTCCCATGTGGTCCCGTATTAATTTCATTGTGTCAATTGTTCTTGGGCTGCGGAGATACTTAGGGGATTCCCGAAAATCAATTATAAAATGAATACAGAGCGAGATATTTGCAGTCGGTTTCGTTTTTCGTTAGTAAAAATATGGACTTCTCAGGGATGGCAACGCTGTTTTGCTCCTCTGGTGTTGTGATTACTCTTGTACGGTAATGATCCTTTAGCAGCATCAGATGTGCCTTCATTGGTACGCTATTCGCTTTGGGGCCGAGGTCGCTTCTGTTTTAATTGTACTAAATGAGAATCGAAATAACACGCAGCGTTACCTTAGCTATAAATGCTTCTACAAACATTTTAAATTGATATGGAGTGAGATATACGAGATGAAATTTACATAATCGTTAGTGATAAGTTTGTTCGTAACTATAACCCTATTTGTTTGGCGACAGTCAGTTCGATGTTAAAATTGGTTTGTAAAACCTAACTACCCAATAGAAAGCATTGCACATTTATACGATATTGAGAACGACGACATTGTTTAGAAAGTGTCGTTGTTCAATAACTATTAAACATTTTCAACTGTCAGCAGAACTTGAATGTTGTATAAAAATCTATTTTATATTTTTACTTGTTATTTTATATCAATATTTCTTCCAAATACACAACATAAGTTTTATGTAAATTCGATGGCAGGACATTCACATTCAAAAGTTATTGTATAATATGTTAACAGCCCTTATTGTATATCAGTCCAAAAACTACAGAAACGGAGAAAATGGTCCAATTGACCTTTACACAGACCGTGATTTAAAATTCGAAGGCAATTCGAACACGGCGTTAGTGCAAATTTACTGAGCCTACGAAGCCTCATCCACCGTCTTTGTTAACTCAAAGCCATAACGCACTAGTAGCGGCTAAATAGATATTAAATCAATGTAATGATGAAATAGAACAAGCAAAAGCCGAACGCGAAGTATACAAAATTCATAATGGTATCAATGTACCGCTCGTGCCGTAGTATCGTAGCATTAAAGCCACATTTATTACCCGCGCTCAGAACTAAATCAAGGCCCATAAAATGCCGCCGCGTTGTTGGCAACTAATATTTGATAAATTTATTTTCCTATCAACCTTTTAACCGTATGTATATACACTTGTACTTCTTTTACCACCTACTACATAAAAATAATGGAATTATATATTTATTTTTAATAAATGTATTCTACTTTTTTACGGGAAAGGTGGCAAATGATCAAGCAGGTTTTTTGATGGTAACCTTTGTAAGCTGGTTCAATACTTACACTGGTCTTGCATGGCAGAAATTTTAATGAGTGAAATTTATATATAAGGCAATAAAATATTTAAGGCCCTGTAGTCTTTGACTGACAAGCAAGTGAGTTGAAGTTTATACAAAAACGTACTTATGTTATTTAAATATTTAATACTTTGAAAAAATAAATATTTTAACTTTTAAATCTCTCTATTTTTTATTTCGGAATGGCTTGCAAACGGTGTTAGTGAGTAATCAACTTCGTGGTATCTGGTGGAGCAAGCGGTTGTTACACTTACAGATTCAGTAAAAGCCTATTTATTATTTTCCATTGTTATCTATTTAAAATGTTGATTTCATAAAAGATTGATGTTCTCGTAATGTTGATATCTTTTTGCAGCCTTCATGTGAAGTTATAAATAAAATCAAAAAGAATATTTGAAATTTTACCAACATGGAATTTCTTATTTCCTTGTAACAAAATCTGACCTAGTCTTTATTTAAGGTAAACTGGAAAGCTCCCATTACAATAAAATGCTAATTACAAATAATTTTTTCGTAAACCACATGTACTATAATTTCATTTTAAATTATTTCATTCAATTTTTTTTTAAATCTGCATTATACCCCAAAAAAATTGTGAAATAGCTTTGAATCGGTCATGTATGTACTAGCCAGTAAACATTGCTCGATTCGAATCACTTCATAGTTCTCTTCCGGGCACAAATTATTTTTTAATAGTATTTGATTAATAATAATTACCATATTTATATTTAGTATATGACACATATAGTAATTATAAATAAATTGAATTTATTTTAAGGTCGGTGCGACATTTTAGTTACCTGAGCGAGCAACTGGGGCCGCCGCGCACGCGCCGCTCCCGCCATCTTGTTTAATCTAGTGCCGTTGATCGCGGAAAAGCGCGCCAACCTTCAACGACCTTCGCTCTCCGACCGCACTGAGCGACCCGAAACGATCTATTCGCACGCTAACACATCATAATATCACGCTTATTCATACAACGTTAGAGTATAATTTCCCGTAGGAAAGAGACAGGTGTATACGACGCTTTCAATTAGCGCAGCCCGACCTGCCCAGCGTATTTGTGTACCACAAACATGTTCCGTTTAAATTATATTACAGGGTCTATAAATCAGTTCGCTCGATTTATTTCAAAGTGATACTTTGTCACATTTAAGAGCGCTCGCTTATAAAATCGGAATGATATCGTGACATTGGTTTACGAGCATAATAACGGCTGTCATAACGCCTGTTAAATATCTATAGCCAGTCAATAATAGTAAGGCCACTATTGATAATTATGGTGGTTTCCTTTGATTTCGGCGTTGGTGGAATGTTGAAAAGTTGAATGCACAATTATTTCGTACTTAGTAGTTGAAAATCGACATTGATATTGAACTATTATAATATTGTCGTTACATAATTATGTTGTGTTTTCACATTGCGACCGAATCGCTAACTATGGCCTACATTTGTATCATTTACGGCCGTTTTCAATATTCAATCTACAGTTAGATTTGGTAACTAGCGATAGGTATTTGACATTACATCGATAATACTTACGTCATAATTCTATCTCCAACGTTTAAAATATGTATTTGGTGCCAGCTAGTCTGAGTCTTATTTAGGTACTAATCGGCTAGTACTAACCTGCTCCTAGAAAAACCAGCAGATTTTCTTCTATATCTGCCGAGTTCGGTGAAATCAATACTATTTTCTCTAAGTACTCGTTCCTTAAAGCCGTTGATTCAAGATACGAGCTACAAGTTTATTTCGGTCTGAAGCTGAGGTGACCCCTAACCCAATAGCGGAACGCTTTATAAATCGCTCGGAGGTCCACCCAGTAGGGGCCATCGCTACATTTTTCACCGCGCTTCCTGCTCCCGAGAGATTTACTGGAGCCAAGATAAGCGGCCAATCTGTTGCAGAAGGCTCCAGGCGCTAGTGCACGTAGCAAGCCCGTATTATGCGGGTGACATCGGCGCACGCGACTCCATCGGTTTCGCCTATCGTTAACGACTCTCGATAAATAAATGTAATCTTATTTAATCTGTAACTGGGAACAAACACGTTTCGTCGGGTAGAGTTTATTGGAGTGTAACTTTTTAGGCGCTGTTCGATAATTGGATGAGAATTGAGAGTGACATTTCAAGGACGCGTCACGTTTATGCATATTTCGTAACATGAGCGAGATATTTATTTAATATAGGTATATATATCTATCTCTCATACTGGATCTCTCTTTAATATTTCTTTATATTTGAGATGTTTCTTCTATCACGTGCATAACACAAAATGCGCATGTAGCACTGAATGCTATTTGTCAGATGGCATACTTAAGAACTTTGTCTTCATCCTTTTGCAATCCGATAATAACCGTCGATAAATTAAACTAAAATTATGCTATAATTAATATATACTGAACAACGATAATATTTGACCACCAAAATTTAAACTTTTCAACCTAATATTCACAAGATTAAATCTATCTAAAATTACATATTATCTAATAAACCTAATCCACGCGGCATGTCAACTGTTCAAACATCTTCTTCTATATTTTGTCTTCACATTTTTTTCACAAATCATCAATAACATTTGATGAGTGAGTAAAATTAATCACTCTTTATTTAATCTGTCTATGTCTATGCTAAATCAATAAAGTATTGATGCCATGTCTTAAACTGTCAAGTTTCTCTATGTCAGATTTCTCATAAGAAATTTTCGACATTTAGCTCGTATCATAACAGAGACAAAGGTTCGAATTATGAGATCATGCGTCTACCGCCTAGTCATGAAATATTCAGTTATGTTTCGAATCAGGTCTAAACACGAATGTAGGAACTTTGCCCTTTAATCAATAAAGGTCGAAGTTAACGTTAATGAAACTTAACATTATCTTATCCTTTAAACGAGCAATTCTTGTATATATATATATAGCGTGTCGTTACCATCGCGACAATAAATGAACATACGTTTAACCCTACTTGCCAATAATCATAAAAAAATATTAAAGGTAAACAAAATCCATAATTAAAAAAAAATATTTTTCAATCAAATTAATTAAGTAAAAAAGAAACAAAATTTGTAACATCCTATACTACGCATTACAAGCCTCTCCTTCTATCAGTATGTGTCTGTTTTAAATTCATTCAACCCATTCTTATGCTTTGTGACCTTTACCAATGAACTTTACGTTACAGTTTAATACGTAAGGGTGTTCTAAAATTCTTTATTTTTGAAAATTTAATAACTCTGTAAATATTGATGTTTAAAGAATGTAAATGTTTAATACAATTTTAAAAAATTATCCCCTATATGTGTGTTCATTTATTGTCGCGATTGTAAAGACACGCTGTATAATCGGAATCTCGGAAACGGCTCCAGCGATTTTCATGAAATTTAGTATGTGCATAGATTCGGGGGCGAAAAATCGATCTAGCTAGGTTTCATTTTTAGAAAATGTCCTTTTATCCCTGTTTTCAGGGAATGAAAAATGTAATTCGAATTTGACGGTAAATTTCGCTGCAAGAGAAAATGTCATAATAGCTCGGTCGGTAATCGAGCGGCCCCATAACAGACGGCTGTGGTTCGCGTGACGATCATTTTTACACATTTATTTTTTACTTTTTTTTCGATTCCAGATCATTGCTTTCTTTATTTTTAATTTTTTGTCGATTTGTTATTTTGTTTTTTCCCTTTTTTTTAAAGTTCTTTCTTTTGTGAAAAACATCAGTTCATATTTTCTTATTATTACGTCGGTAAGATCGAAAAATATTATGCATAATTTCATTACTCAGTAATTTGTATCTAAATGTAATTTCCAAAATACACGATTTACCAAAAAAAAAAAACAAACCGAGCAAAGCTCGGTCCTCCGGGTACTTATTATTATTCCGTACAATATAATTCACGACATACGCATTCACATGCATACACATTCATACATACGAACTTTTTTTTCATTATATCAACACTCCGATTCCTACAGACAACAGACTAACTCTAACTTTTACAGACAACAGATCTGTATAAATATCATAATCTGAATTAAAATCATTTTGGTACATAGCACAAATAAAACATTTCATTTCCACATTCCGTTTCGTCTGTTTTATTAATATTTCTTAGATTAGTAAAAAATTGAGTCCTTCGTATAAAAATATTTTATGTAAATACTTTAAGCAGGAACCATAATATAATATTAGTATTAATAGCAAGCCCCCAAAACTAAGCCCCCAAAGGGAAAGTCCCTTAATGAAAAGGATTTAATACTCAGAAAAAAAAAAGTTATACTTTCTGGGCGATGACTAGCTAAAACTAATAAGCAGCACAGATAACTAATCGGTCTGGGCGATTCTAAGGAAAAGCTAACGAGCACTAATAACGTTGTTTTTTTTTTAAATTTCATTTAGGCACTGGACAGTCGGCGGACAGGCCGCGGCCTCCGATTGCGATAGCCGACTTTGCGTGCACAATTGTCGCATCCGCGGCGCAGCCATTGTTCCAGTGGGAACACGCCCTTAATTGCTGGCCCCGGAATAAATTAAAACCGGAATGCTATCGCGCGGCGCTGAAATGATCTAAGAAGCGTGTTTCCATTGGACCACGTTGTACAATTAACAGTTGCGTATGTCGCTCCCACTTTAGGCAGCGTGCACGTGTCCGTTTCGATTACCTCAAGGCATGCACTATGTAATGTTTTCGTGTAAATTTAAATCGCATATGCTAGGCTAGAATTAGTTCGTTAGCCTGGAGTAACTCGAGTTTGAATAAGCTAAAACACTTCTTAATGTATTTTATGTGACGATAGACTAACGCCCGGTTTCTGAAACACTGATAATCGTAGAAGTTAACTAATCAGCTGTCCAATGTCTTTTGAAATGTTATTTAAGTTGGCAAAAGGATGTTTAAACTCTCTGAATTGATCAGAATGATCAAAATCAAAATCAAAAGTCTTTATTCAACATAGGAGCATTACACTCGCTTATTGATAGTCAAAAACACTACCACCAGTTCGGAAAAGAAAGCCACTGTACTGAGAAGAACCGGCGAAAGAAACTTTTTTTTAATTTTTTTTTCTTTAATATAAGCAGTTTGACATGAATTCATTAAAAATATAATATAAGAACTCTGATTGAAAGAGCCTGGAGCGATCAGTTCATTACCAGAGTGTGTTATCATTTAAATAATCATTAATATTATAGAAGCATTTAACACACAAACGTTCTTTTACTATTTTTTTAAATTTAGCTATTGAGATCTTCTCTCTCTTATCTCTTTAGGCTCTTCTTAATGATCAGAATGAAAAAGGCGTCCATCCTTTTGGCAACTCAAATGACATTTGAAAAGCTGATTAGTGAACTTCTACGATGATCACTGTTTCAGAAACCCGGCGTATGTCTCAGAGTGGTTTAAGATGGTAGGGCCACGCAACAGTCTTCACTTTCGCACAAATGGGTAGGTCCGTCCGAGAATTACCAACATCTCACAGAAGACCGGCGTAAAGTGGAAGTATAATACTTTCGCGTTTCGTCTGGTGACTGAGGTGGCCGGAGCCCACTTTTCAAAAGGCTGTCGACGCATCTGTAACCCTCGGGCTTAGCAGATGTCTATGGGCGGCGGTATTCACTTAACATCAGGTGAACCGTATGCTCGTTTGGCAACTTTTCACATAAAAAAAAGAAAAGAACGGTGTGAAGTGGAAGTGTTACACTTCTGCGTTTAGATATTTATTGGTAGGCGGAATTTTTGCTCAGTGGCGAGACTTATTTGACTTGGATGTTATTTCGTATTATAAATATCCGTGTCAATAATATTATTGAACGTAGTTCATGCTGACTGAGAAACCAATTTTTAATGTGGTGGCTCAAAATATGGCGCTAGGTACGAAAGTTATGTCAAATTCAAATCATAAGGTAGTAGATTTAAATCATTACACTACTCGTAAAACTGCAGTAACATTTTCGTTGGTTTGTGCATCAGTATTTCTTAATTGAAATGCATCTAAACAGACGTGGCGTCCACGAGAGCTTTGAAACATACTTATTAGAGGTCTTCCACGTGGCTTTACCCTGTCTAAAGATGTTCGATCCGCATCCACTTACGACTTGTCTCGGACGTTGTGTCCAGGTAATGGGCGAGGCTTTAATCTGAAGGCTTATTGGTTTTGACTCGGGATCTACGGACCACATCTGAGGGCGACGACGACGCTGTGGGTTGCGATTTTCTATGAGAGCCATCGCGTCGATCATTTACCGTGTAAATAATAGTTTGTTTTTTTACCATTGTTTGAGCCGTTTGGTTTCTATATAACCTTTTTGCTATAGTTATATTTGTAAATCGAACTTTTCCTCTATCGATTTTCTTCCTTTTTTCAATTTGACTTTGTATTCACTTTTGTCCTGTCATTCAACTGATAGTATTAAAAGCATCCATTAAACACATACATTGTTTTAAACCTTATCCCAAATTTTACAAACACGTAAAATAGTGTTTTCATTTGTTCCCTCATCGAACAGCCATCTATATAAGAAAGAGCTCTTAAACATGTTGGATAGTGATCACGCGTCAGTTCACAGCACGTCATCGTTTCCTAATCGAATAAACCTAATGCCTAATGCAGCGGGTTCTCAAAATACATGTAAACATTAAAATATGTAGAAAAAGTACGAAAAGATTGTCGCCGCTGTGGGAATCGAACCCACGTCTTCGCGTCTTCATTCGCGGCATTTTCTACATGTTTTAATGTTCAATCTTAAGTGCAGAGATTAGCACTATAGAAAACTTTAAAATTTATATGTAAACATTCTATAACAAAATCGGAAGTAATCGATAAGGGGTCGCTAACATTTTTCTATATTAGATTCGCTTTTGTTTTAAAATGTGTGGTAGGGCCACGCAACACGCAATTCGGCTGTTGTGTGGCCCCCTACCACATGGAAAAAAGAAGCTAGCATTAAAAATCGATAACATTAACAGAATAATTAAACAAAATGAATGTATAAATTAATAAATAATAATTATTAAATAAAGTTAACAGAATATTTCAAACAAAGAAAGTTAGAAACATCGAGGAAGTTTCAAAAATGTGCATGTTTATCTCGTGTAGTAAAGGGATAATAATCAGTTACCGGGTGATCGCGTACGAGCCATGTTTAGTGCCTTGCGGAGGCCTGTTTCTCCTGACCTGGGCTGAGAGCTGAACCCATGATCTCTGATGCAGCGGCCATGTGTGCACTTTTCTCGTACGAAGATCTTATCTTAACTGCGTTTTTATAACAGTACAATGCAACGGCGTAAAGCTTACGATGTACGTTGCATACATTTCCCTTTTATTGCTTAACGCGTAGTGTTTCTGACGGTCGCGGGGCAGTCGGCTAAAGGTCACAGGTTGAAATTCGAATGCCTTTTACGAGGGCCTTCCGTTTCCTCGAATGACTACGGATTCTGATCTCGTCTGGAATTTGCAGTGGCTGAGATATTTTAGTCCAGTCTGAAGATAGGAGAAATTATAAAAAAATTGAATTTACTACTATCATTTAAAACTAATGGTAGGGTTTGGGAAATTTTAAATTAGCGATTATTATTAATTTGTTTATCTTTTACACAAATTATGTGTAGGCCCGCACTTAATTCCTGTGGCGTTGGTGATAAAGTTAGTTATTAAATAAGATTAAATACATCCATGTTGCAAATGGTATCAGATAGGTTTATTAAAGACCGGCCGACGGCCTGTAGTCAACTCTTATTGGGAACAAACACCCAGACACGTATATGTGAAGTCCGCCAATCCGCAGTGGGGCCGCGTGGTGGACTATGCCCTGATACCCTCTGTATAGAGGAGGCCTTTGCCCAGCAGTGGGACATGAATAGGCTGTTACTTTACTTTACTTTACCCAGACACGGAACAATTATTCGCGTAAATATCGGTAGTCTTTTTCCTTGTCACATTGTTTTTAAATTTTATATTAAATTGTGCTAATCTCTGCACAAAAGATGAAACCTAAAAACAATTGCTTAGAATAAAAAAACAAAAAAACACAGTAGATAAAACACGTTGGCGTGCCAATCAGCCGTTTAGCTTAGTAGTTAAAGCGTCTGGCCGCGATTTAGGAAGACACGGGATTGATTCCATCGGCGCGGTTAGAAACTTTTCGACCATTTTTCTAAAGATTTTAATCATCGTATCGTTGTTAAGTTAGTCACACTATACCTACTCTCGGGCACCCTCGAATCGGAATGCCAAACGGGTATTAAAATAACAAACTTACAAATTACATTAAACATTATACTGTATTGAGTGACAGCCCAAGCCGAAGTCCCCTCTCGGGGGCCCTTGAGCCTAGTCACTCCATGGAGCGTCCGCCAAAGCGCCCTAAGAGCTTGGTGGCCTCCCAAACCGGTAATGATAGTTATTGCGTGACGGCCCGAGCCGAGGCTCCCTCGGGAGCCCTCGAGCTTAGTCACCATAACGCGTAACCGAGGTTCAGGCTAGGCGCCCTGAGCGCGTAGCCACCTCCAGTCTGGCTCTGTAAAGGCCTCCCAAGGCCAACAGTAGTAGATTCTCCAAAAAATCGCTGTTAAGACCTTTTACTCGTTCTTAAGGACAGCATTGCAACGCAGGATGCAAGTACGCCCCCATGTACAGATGTCGCATTGACAAGCACTCAGATCCGTAACGGTTTGTGTGGATAGCATGAATACATTGCCCCGTTTGGGAGTCGAACCCATGACCGCGACGCCGAAGTCACTTAAAACGAGTCACTATTACTTTCTTAAATACATTTGTTTTAATTCTTAAATGAATACTTACACTACTGCCTCCTTTATAACTTATAAACAAAAATGCATTTTTAAACTTAAAGTACGCAATACAATAAAGGCAAAAGGAGGCGGCTCAGCTTCTGCTGATCGGGACAGTTGTTCTGTGCAGCGCTGGTTTTCAGCCTCTCCCCTCTTCCTGAGGTGTTTTTCGGAAGTTTCAGCTCTGGACTACCAAGCGAAATACGACGTTAAAAAGTATGTAAGATGTTTAAAAAAAAAAAAAAACAAGAAAACAATATGAACTATAAAAAGGAACAACACTTGTAGATCCGTGTTTGAATGACCATATATATATATACCCGTTTTATGGTGACAGCCATATTTCGCTCGGTTACAATTAGTATGCAGTAATAAAGTGACAACTCAATAAATGAATTTTCTTAAGCACGTATTAAACCCGTTCGCGAAGAACCGTCTCAAAGGCTTAAAACGCGACTCAACTAAAACGTAAATAATTGAGAAAATTTAAACGCTAATTGGAATCTGAGTGCGGCCGGTGGTCCTAGATTTGACTCTTACTGATAACATCTTTTCCCTCCTTCGAATCATTGTCGTTTATAAATTATATTTTAAGTAAAATAAATTCATTAGTTCACGCCATCTATTCAGGATTGCGATATTTTTTCTATTAACTCGCAGTAGAACGAGTTGGGACCTCCTTACGATGTAATGTAACAAAGGATTCTCTTTCGCGTACACATCGTAATACGTTGCCAATAATCAATCCAGTTTAACATCCGATTAAGTACGAATTACAATACAAATAGATCAGTCACGACTTTAATTTGTCGGCACAAAGTAGCACGTCCACGCAGCGCTGCCAAAATGCGTCGAGTCTTATCGCTTTTGTATAAGGTTCAACCTTTAGAGCAACTAATTTGATGGAATAGTACTTATTATGATCGGTTTACTTCCGAAAGAATTATGGCGCTGTTATAGCTGAATAATAACAAACTTTAAGTTGACGCGCATAAGATTTGATTGGCCGGTTCGCAGTTGGCGGTTATGATGTTTCCTTCACGCTCCGCGACAATGTCTTTGCACTTATCTCAAGGTGACATGAGATGTAAATACCTATTGTATTAGGAGTAAAAAATACCGTGACCTTACACTGTATAAAGTTCACTAATGCGCTAATGACACGATCCTACGTGTGCGCACGATGATATCTGCCAATAGAGAATAATGCTATAAAGTTACGTGGGCGGAAAATTATCGGAAAATCCCGCGATGGATGCGTCATTTCAAATTGTTCGGTTCGTAATCAAACGGAATTTCAGCATCGGTTTCAACCTTCATTCATTTGTTAACATTTAAAAAAATCGAGTCCGAGCAATGTTTTGACTCCCGTTCGCGGGCGACATTAAAAAAAAAAAACAACAACAACAAGCACGCGAATTGAACGTTTTATAAGATGCAACATTTTCTTGTACAACCCTAAAAGAAGGACAAAAGTGATAAGTTGCGGGGGCACAACAGGTAGGCAGCACACACGCGCGGCCGACATGTGACCGCGTACGAATACAAAAGAGATCACCTGTAACGACGCACACACGCGCGGCGCACGCAATAAATCAGCCGCAACACGGACGAAATGGTCCACGCACACACGGGCGGCTCACCTGAGTCACCTCCACACTCGACACGGGCCGGGTCGCGGCGCGAGTGGCACACTGTTGCGTTTTCACCTGTTGAGCGGCGGGTGCGAGTGTGCGGGTGACTCAGCTCGCGCTCAGTCGGGCCGACTGTTTGCCGCGCTCAGGTCGTTCGGTGCGCACCGCCCGCCGCGGCCCACGTGTGACTCGAATTAATTGGTCCGCGACAACTGCGTACAGTGAAGACTTTTGTCGTCCGCGTCCCGGCGGCCGTGTCGTCCGCGAATCGTCGCCCCCTCGCCACGCGTCCGCATACGCGTCGATCCATCACCGACAGCCGAGCGGATTTGAGTGGACAGTGCTTGGATAGTGATTTGGTGACACTCGGTGCGTTGTTTTTGTCGGACAAACTGAGGAATATTTCGGCGGCGGAGGACCGCCTTTGGAAATACTTGAAAGGTGAGCCCTCGGCCCGCGGAAAATTCACTGCGCTTTTATTTTGTTTTGTTTTCTGTTTTTTTTTTATTTAACGTTCGGAATTCGGTCCAAGTTGTTCAAATGCGATCGTTCTAGGTCGATAGTTGTTGACTGGCTTGTAATTGTGGCAAATTTTGTTAGAACATTAGGCGATATTTCTAAAAATGTTACGTCCCATACGGAAATGAATATAATTTGAATAATTCACATTTTTTCATTATTTTTTTTCCCTCTCCACAGTGTTTGTTTTTTGCGTGGCTGTCTTATCGCTCGGGCAATAATTTTGCTTCTACCCACTACTTGGAATGACGCATTTGACCTTTTTTTCATTAGGTATTCAGTATTTCTAATTTAGGTCTTTTTTATGGCGATTATATCAATAGTTTTTATTAAATACTGTTCCAAGAATTTTTCTTTTCAATCTCATTTCTTTCTCTTTAATTTTAACGTCATCACATTAAATATAACGTGATCTATAAAACACTTTTTGTAAATATCAAGAGCATCAATCACTTATTTGAAAATTATTAAGAAATGATTAACTATCAAACCATAGAAGAAATTTTGCTGAGCATTGTTTGTCTTAAGACTTGTACCTTTTACGTATTAAAAAAAAACAATTTATTTAGCCAGATTAAGTGAATATTGAACAAAAAATGATTTTTTTAAATATTAAAAGAACTAAGAAATACGATTACCGTCATATTATTTCCTCTGCTTAGAATGTACTTTTATTCATTTTTTCCACCCCGGTACAAAAGTATTTTTAGATTAACATTACAAAAGCTAACATTAACTTATTTAATTTTATGATTAGTTCTAGTACTTCCGCCAACACTACATATTGTAAATTAAAAGTATTTGACGGATTTTATACGCTGTACCATGAATCTATACGACTTTTCATATATTTTTCTGCATGTACAAGCCTAGTTGTTTCACTCCACATTTCACATAATGACTCTGCATTCATGATATGCACGCATTTTTCATGGACCATCTCTTTTCCCTACACTTCAAAACTTTTCTTCAAGTATACATATGTCATAAGATTCATACTTGTTGCTTGTTTATTTCAACATCCGCATGTCACCTCTTTTATGTAGAAAAACAATACGATCTATTCAAATTATCACTGCTAATGTTAGAAATTTTTATGTATTTAATCATTTATCGTTAACTAGCGACCCGCCCCGGCTTAGCACTAGTGCAATGTATGCACGGGTGCAATGTAATATGCATATGAACCTTCTTCTTGAATCACTCTATCGAGTAAAAAGACCGCATCAAGAACCGTTGCGTAGTTTTAAAGATCGAAGCATACATAGGGACAGACATACAGCGGGACAACTTTGTTTTATACTGTGTAGTGATTTCTATCGTTATCTTCTGAACAAACTACTATACTAATTATCCATTTATATGCGGTAAATTTTTGATCCATTATTATGTTTCACGGTAAACCTACAAATTCGTGCAAAAGTCCTATTACATACATAATCCCATATCAATATTATGCTTATATTCAGATGTAATGTATTGGTGTGTTTGTTGACATCCTGATTCGTTTTTTTTATTTCGTATGAACATCTACTATCGTTGCGTAAATTTCTTATAGCCACTGGTTGAAATACTAATAGCTTCCGACGGAGTTCGTTAGGATGCATTTCGTTAGCTACAAGCTTATCAGAATAACATTTACTGTAAAAATAGTGAAAATCCTTTTTTTTTTTTTCACTTCTTCCGAATTTAGCTTTTGGAATATTTTCTAACACGTCTATTGACGTCTATCTTTTTTAACCAGTACACATAGTAGCAATGCTGTGTAATACTTAAAACTCCAACATTGCAAATAGTGGTATTATTTATTTATTCTCATCTTATAGTGTGAATTTCTTTTAGAATATCAAGTCCAAATGGAGTTGACAACTTCATGAGTATGTTTTCTAAAAGTTGTTATGTAAAAATATATAAGTTAATTAATAGTTATGGTGTTAGACGGCCTTAGGCGGTGCAAACTGTTTATTATGTTGGAAGATTGAATTAACATTACAGAATAAGTCAATTTTTTTAGTAACGAAAAACAAAACCGACTTCAAATATCTCGCCCTGTATTCATTTTTTGATTGATTTTCTGGATTCGGTGTACCAGATTTTTAACTGCTTGGATTGTTGAAGTTATTGTATGAACCTAAGTTCCATCCATGGTTGCAAATCTCTTGACAACCAAGTATAAAGGAACATAATGACAACAGAAAAATAAAAATATAATAAGAATTTGTTTGTGAGATCACGAACTTTTCCACTGTCGTAGATTAGTTAAGAAAACTTGGAATAACACGTAAATCTTTCGCGCACAATGACTTAAAATAGCTGTATAGTGAGGACGTATAAGTCCATTTTTATTAACGAAAAACAAAAACCGACTGCAAATATCTCGCTTTGTATTCATTTTATAATTCATTTTCTGGAGTTCCCTGCGTATCTCCGGAGCCCAACATCCAATATCAATGAAATTAGTATAGGACCACATGGGAAGCACCAGCTTTCAAATAAAAAAAAAGAATCATCAAAATCGGCTCACTCAGTCGAAATCTGAGGTAAAAAACATAAAAAAAAAATCCAGTCGAATTGAGAACCTCCTACGTTTTTGAAGTCGGTTGTAAACTAATTATTTGTAGGCTTTATTTTGCTGAAATTATTGGATAGAATAACAAAACAGTTACAAAGTTAGATATTTCTGTCCTGCTGTTGAGAGCTTGATTTATGTTGGGTTTTCGAACTGCTTTTCAGTTCGGATTTCTTACGTGTCATGTGTCAAGTTATGGTTTATTGTTGGCTTTATAGGTACGTGAGGGATTTAATACGGTTATTACTAAATAAAAAGTCGTAAATCAAAAGTGTGATACTTCTACTTCATGCGGGTCTTTGAGACGATGGTTTCATACAACAGAAGCTGTCGTATGAAAATTTTGATCACCGTTTGAACTTTATATACCGTTTATCTTTGATATTCGCAAAACTTGTAAACAACAAAGCGCGATCAATTCAAGAATAATTCTTCCACGCTGTAACTGCTGCTGTTGCGAATTTTTGCAACGGCATTAGTTACAGCGCTACAGCAATCATTCGATTGGTCTCGTCCAGAGAAGAGAACTCACAGAAGTTCGACCTGAAGAGGTGTTATACTACTGCGTTCCATCCAGCGAGTGAGGTAGGCCACTTTATTGAATGTTAGCGCGGCATCTGCACACCTGCGGGCGTTACAAATGTCGATGGTTATTCATCACTTAACATCGGGTGAACCGCCATTTTGCTTGTCTAGAAAGAGTTCGACAACCTACAGGAGAACTTGGTAGGGGCAGTTGCTAAGTTATGTTTTCACGCCGCTTGAATTTGTATGAGATAATTGCTGCGAAATCAGAATATTTAGATAGGTAAAGCGCTTCTATCCCAGAATTGTTCGGTCACTTGGTCACAAAATTTGTTTGGACACAGGGTTAAGGGAGTGCGCTGAAGGAGGAAATGAGATAACATATTCGGCTACTTCAAATGAGTATTAGGCCAATTAAATAACTTTTTTTAATATTTCCAATATTAACAAAAGACAAACAGCTTTTACAAAGACGCACATTTTATATAGTCAGGAATGTTTTTTGTTATAACAAATTTTAACTAGCTTAAAATTTTAAAATCATAAATAAGTACTTGTAATGAATGAAAATATTCTTTTCATGTTCGCGAAATATTGCGCTTTTCCACATTTACTATTTTGACTTGTGATTATTTTCCCGAATATTCGTATTTGGAAAAACAATTATTCGTTTCGACTTGAAATCACTGCAGCTTAATCCGCACTGCAGAATTATTACACCACGCGACATGTGTTTCTGTTAGCACTAATACGAGTATTATGATAATTAAAGGTATCTTAATGTTATATAGGTAAAAGTAACGTGCAGTTCTAGACGAGTATTTTGCTAAAGGACGAACAAGTATTAAACAAAAAACATGTCTGATTAGTCACGAGGAATATAAATATTTTTAGGACATATTTTTACACAACGTTCTCTAGTCCCAACGCTTGTACTATGGGTAAAGATAAATGATAAACATATTAAATAAACATACTTAAACATACTTTTTTCTTTTGTAAATAAATACATATTGTACATATATAAACACCCAGAAAATAGAAAAAAACTATGTTCATTCATCACACAAAAATTTTTAAGTAGTGTGGATCGAACCCACACCCTCTGGCGCAGGAGGCAGGTACACTACCCACTACGCCATTCGGGTCGTTGAAATCGAAAAATATAATCTATTATATAAAGATAAAAATGTATAAACTTTGTTCTTAATGAAAGTGCATCTATGTACTTTAAAATGTTCAATTCCTTTACTTGCGATGATGAATGCTCTTCTATCTTTTTCTTTGGATGGGTTTGGGTTTTGTATTGAATCTACGTCAAATTTACTACTATAAGATTTTTTATTTAGATTGTAATACTGTATAAGAAATAAAATATGTATAAAGATAGAACGCTTACGCTAACTTTATTATCTGTTGAGGACAAATGTGGTAGATACGTATGTATCTTACGTGCTACTTAAAAAAATTGCCGCTGCGAGCGGCACGTAACTTCTTTTGCATCACAGTATCACTTTTCTTTTGTCACCAATTACAATCGTAATTGGTTGTAATTGGTCGTATTACAAGTATTACGAGTAGCGACTATGACGTCGGCGAGGCGTGTGAACGTCTGTAATTAGAAGGGGTCATTATTGATACTCTTAGCCAATATGTTATACCCGCATTGTAGATAACGGCCTCTGAACGAGGTATTATACAGTCGAACAGGAATATTTATGGGAGGGCCCTATTATTTTAATTGTTAAATTAAATTCCGGTAGAGGATTGATTAATATTTTTTTGAGATAGCATCTCGCGTTTGTTGTTTCGATTTGTTATATTTTTGTAAATAGTTTCCTAGATAATTTTGTTCAAGATGAGAAGTATTAGATAAAAGAATAACTCCTATAATTTAGGCAGGTGAATGTAGCGTATAGCAATTTGATAATTCTGTGTTGTCTGTTTTTTTAATGTTTTCTTTTCGTTCCTTTGAAGGCTTTCGTTCTTTGCAAATATATGTATGTATGTATTTTTATGTTATATTTCCTTTGAATGTTTCCCCAAAAGTTATGGATAGTAAAACACATGATTTTGGTTGTCATCATGGATGCCTAGTAAGGGTATTGTATTAAGCAATCTTATAACCAAACTTTCCCTGATTCTGTATGCTCTAACAGATCCGGATGTAGATTGGCTTAATTTCAATTGTAGATCAGATCTAGTTTAGCATCTTATCGTATCGTATAGTAAACTACGAGTTTACAAAAAGTCGTTTCACTTTTCATTCAGCTTTAAAGTTAATTTATGCATTTGTGTATGATTACACGTTATTATTGCTACTCGATGAACGCCCAAGGCGGGAGGAAACTTGTTTCATCGAGAAATAAAAGCATCGAATGATTCACGGCAGTGTCGCGTTACAGCCTCTACTTTAATCATCTAAATAGTCTTACAAACCTTATTTTTTTATAGCGGCGGGTGTTAGTTAGTTAGTTATTATTTAATATGACCCCATCGTCCAAAAGGCTTGTCGTTGCATAGCTTACCTTTACGGTTTGTTCCGTCTCTTCACTTACCAGACGTTATACATCTTCTGAGAGATCAAGATATTTTACCAAATAAGTCGGCCCATTTGTAAAAGAGTAGTTATTATTATTATTAAATCTTTATGCAAAAACATTTATGTGCAAAGGCGGACTTAACGCCATCATCATTATCTCCCAGTCAAACTTGGGGTGGTCCAGAAAAGTTCCAATGCTAGAAGACCATGTGTTATTGAATACAGTATTGTCCAGTGTACCTCTTTTGCGATTCCATAGCTTGTTAGCTGTATATAGCCCGACTATTGCCAGGGATGGTTCTTGTAAGCAATTCTATAACTGTGTTTATTTACCTTCTTCTCAATTTTTCTCTTGCAAGACCTAGCCTCCCTTAACGTTCAATAAAATTTACTTACATTGTCATATTTTGTCTGCGATTATGGCGGAAGATTTTTTGCTTTTCTTTAGCCTCAAATCCCCTTTTGTGCCTTTGCTGCTTGTTTTATCCATTGCCACAATCCTGGGCTTTGTTAGTTTTCATTCAACTGCATAACTTCTCTCCGTCACATGCATTCGTAACTTTTTTTTCAATCTTGCATGGGAACATCTTTATTTATTTTCTAGATAACGAATCTAATCTCAATAAATCTCCGTCCACCTTGAACAATTAGCATCCTTCGACAGGATGACAAGGTGCGTTGACAACTATCAGTCGGTTCATTCCGCATTTCATGCTCGGACCCCTATAAATAGAAGGCGGTGGGTTCAAACCGCGGAGTGTCCGGTTGCACCGCAGCGGCCCTACCGGTGTTGCGGGTGGTTTTTTACGCGTATATATATATGATAACCGCCAGAGGCTTTGTCCTTCTGATTTATTGGCCAAATCATCCGATGATACAATCAATAATCTAGAGGTATATCGAAAAATTACTGCCTACCTGCTCAGCTTATACTTTCTTATTGCAAACCAATGTGTGTAGAGGATAGAGGTATTTGGAGCACTTCCAAGTGATAATTGCCTTAATCTGGATTCTGTTCCATTTCCATGTATATGGAAATGGTCAATTATTAGACTTTAGTTATTGGTAAATCAGTTATTCCACAGTAAATTTCACGGTATCAATATACTCAATTGAAACTACTGGGCTTAGTAGATCGACAGTGATCATCCACCAATAACATTGCTCGGATAACTCTGGCCCAAAGAGTATTTGTGTAAAAATTTGAATTTAAAACGTCTCGACAGTACAGAAGAATCTCCTCCATTACAAGGTGTGTTGGTTTCAAAAGAAATTTGCAATTAATGAGAGAACTTGGCATTACGAGAAACGATCTGTTAGTATTCCGTCATCGTACATTGCAATAAAATAAAGCCAATCTGTAATAGAAAAATGCACCTTCCATGAATGTACGTATGTAGCTTATTGGTGATTCGTGGCTTGAATATAATTCGTTTAAAGCGTGGTATTATTGGCTACTTAGAAATCGAAGCGAATCTTAAAACGATTCTTGTTGTTGTGGTAGCTGATTGACAAGTCTACAACATGAATGTTTGATTTTACTTTTGCTCTTTTTATCCTTAAGAAAATCACGAACACTAAAGACATATATAGGGTATTAGAGATACATGTATATATTTATTTTAATATTTATATAATTTTAATATATTATAATTATTAAGTTAATTCCAGCGGCATGCTAATGAGCTTTCCTCTTTTCGGTGCCAGTCTCAATTAATCACCTGTCTCGCTTACGGGTTGTGATGAGTCTTTTAAATACTAAGAGCTTTACAAGTCTGCCTACCTCGTTACAGTGAAAGACTTGGGGCGTACGCTTATGTTAAAACGGGCGTGTAAGGGAAGGGGAGTTGGAGCAGACTTACACCTGTCGCTTGAGATGGGTGCCGTGTACATTGCACCGGCACGGCACCATTTGCCTGGACCGGGTGTCCAAATACCCGGAGAGAGGAGGCCTGAGAGGGCCACAGTCGCGATGGGGTTCGCGGAAGACGACAAAAGAGACAGCGCAGGTGCAACGTGGGTTTTTTAGTGGGTACCCCGTAACTCCCACGTATCCCTGCAGCCTACCCACAAGGCGGTGGGGGATCCATATAGGATTTTTCCAACGTAAAGACTTACACGTGTCTGCATAGCGTCCGTGAAGGCTGGTGTGCACAGGAATTCCGTGCCGATTGACCTCGGGCCCTGATCGACAGTCCGCGCACGCACCGGCTGGCATCCTCATAACCTTACGCGACGTCGGTCGCACCGCGACCGTTTTGTTATTAGGGTCCAGGTTAAATTGGAACCATACCAGTAGAAGTTAGCGCTAAACTAGCATTTAATAAAATCTATCTGCAAAACTGCGTTTGTCCCTTGTCCACTAACATGTCCCAAACATGTCCCTGTAACTCAGCAAGACGCTTAGTATGTTTGCTTTAGAATGGACAATTACTGATTACAATTCGGTGAACTTTTTGGTGTAGTAAATGACAGACGAGTTTGCGACGACCCTGATAGGTAAAAGGTAATAGGAACCGGTTCATCGCCGTCGTTAGATATTCACAATACCTCAGGTGTGTCTGATACCTCACTAGTCTTTTAGAAATGGAAAAACTGTCTCCTTGAAGATCTCTAAATGCAATCGCAAAACTGACATATTCATAAATCAAGAGAATCTTTTCACGATTGCAAATTTCTATACGATACAAAAGTATGGGAATTCGGACAATTTGAAAACGAAATGGTAACTTAAGTAGCCTGGTAAGTGTGCCGATATTTACTGAACAAGTTATTGTTAAAGTCCGTTTGGTAATATACCATTACCATTTTATTTGTTGTAATTATTTTTAAATATACCACTGAAACACGAATCTACGTATTGGATTAAATTTTTCTTCTATCAATAATTTAATTTTTATTAAGTTTTCTATTTTGCTGAATGGAAGATAGATTGCAAGATAAGTATAATATAACACGAGTATAATAATTATTATGAGAATTACGTTATTCTTCGTGTAAGAAAAGAAACAATAACATACCTGTAGTGTATTCTTCGATACTGTATATTTTGCAATAGCAGTAACATATTATTAAGAAAGTATTTGTGTACTTACGTAAGAATTCATACTTCTTTAGTGTAACAAAAGAAAAATCTAAAAATATTATCCCCTGTGCAATTACCTACTCTTTATTTGTGAAAAACACATTGAATGCAACTGATAACAGTTTAGTTGAATAATTTGGAATTATCGGTAAATGTCAAAAGTTGATATTGGTTGCCATGGTAACACTGTTAAGTTGTTCACCAACTTCTTCATGTCACTTTTTGGTTGACGGTGCGCGCGTAAAAATTTTTCTGTCTTAATTTTTTCTGAATGCGTCAAAAGAAATATAAGTAACTTAAATAAAGCTAAAACTCGATAAATCCAGTTTAAATTCTAATCTTCCAATCTGTATTCAACCAGGAGACTAATATAAAGAACTATATATAATGGTTTGTCGTCTGCAACTCTCCGAGTAAATGTACTAACAATTATCTTAGATTTGCGATTCTAAATTCAAAGCAAGGGCCTATTTAATTTTCATAACGCCCGCGTTCGCCGGAATGCGAACAATTTTAAGTAACAATATTACAGACAGGCGTTAACTATTATGACAGTTTCAACAGCTTTAAGATGAATTAAAGGTGAATTAAAGGGAAACAAACTTCGTTGCAAAATATTGCTGCCTAATTATTGTAACACGCGTCCCCCATATCCTGTAATGTCGTGTCGTATTCAGCCACTAGTGTCCCATTGTTGGGCAAAGGCCTACTTCCATTTGTTCCACTCCTCCCTGTCGCAATTGCGTCCAGTTCCTGTAATATAAATAAACATAAAAATAATAGCATTTTTTATTCTTATTATGTTTTTCCTTGATTTGACGATTGGTCTATGTTTAATTACCGTATACTTCTCGTCCGCGATTCAGTGGCCTGTCACTAATCGGTACGACTAGTGTCAGATTATTAGGCATCGCGAAAAAACGGAAACTGCGTTCCGTTCCCGTTTTTTCTTCATCGCCGAGTGGTACGAAATTTTCGCCGCCAATGCCGCTATCCCCGATTACGCACACAATGGCCGCGTCGCAGGCCGGCCGGATCGATCGCGGGTGAGCAAAAAAGCTATCAACCTGCTGAACTGTCTCGTAATGGGAAATAACAGTCTCGCCGGCGGTAATTCGACGTCACGAGTGGGGCTTTTTTCGCCGGCCGTTCCGCGGTCCGGACCGCGACCGGAGACCGCGGCACCGCACTACGTGACCGGCTGCTGGGAACTCTTCGGATCATTTCCTGGTTCAGTGGTTTCTCCGCCGCCGTTTTTGATACGGCCTCTGTTTTGTTGCGGGCGTTTTTAAAGTGTAAATTGTCTTTTTTGTTTTTTCCCTTCGGTATTCGTTGATCGGTCGGCGGTGGCTGTGGCTGCGGCCTAATTCCAGCTACAGCTTTGAGTCTATCCTGCAAGATAAAATAAATAAAAAAAAATAAAATAAAATAAAAATCTTTTATTTCAGGCTTAAGAACCCATATAGTGTTAGTAACCAAAATTTTGATCGATTTGACCAAGTGAATATACTTTTCTATACGTTTGTAGATTAAATTAATCTTAGATCTACTTATGACGTTGCCATTAAGTGAATGTAGTATAAGAATGATTGAAATGAAATGATCAATATAATATATTGATATAATAATATATATCTAGTGAACATTAATATGTAATGGACATGATTGTCCAGTAATCTAGTATAGATTTGTATGTCTTATGCCCAGTTTCCGAAAGGCCAATCAAAGCAGCAATCACATAACACTATGTCAAAAATGATCAGCTGTTAATCTCTTGTTAAACTCCCTTGGGTTTCTGGAAGGTTTGTTCAAGAAAAATTAGCTAATCACTGTATAACCAATGATAATGAATGAAATGAATGATTTACTTCAACTAACTCTTTCTATTGTATAGCTGTCCCTTTTTAACAAAACTTAAATTAACGTCACTATCCAGTCCTGTCACCGTGTGATTGCCAACGTAAAAATCCGAGCTATAATAAAATTTAATTTATATAAATACATGCAAAATGTCAAAAAAAATAAAACTTTACAGAACGTGAAAAAAATGAACTTTTATCAATAATAAACAAGTAAGTATTATAAAAAGAAAGAATCCATATTATTTATTAACTTTTGAATTGTATTTTGTATTTTTTCTAATCACATGATATGTTATAATAATAAATAATAAATAGGTAATAGAACACATGAATGTCCTAACAACGTATTAGGGAATTATGTTTATTTTTAATAAAAACTAAGATTTTTGATAAATAACATTTGAAACCAACGATTGATCGTCCAAATTGACAGATTACTTAATAAAACTTTTGACAGCTCTTTGACCACCGAAAAACGCTTTCAGAAACTCGATTTTCTGTTGATTGTCCGTTAATCAGTGACTAATTGCAAATCAAAATCAATGTTATTTAAGACGTCCTAGCAACTCAGATCATGTTAAACAGCGATTGACAAGAGATTTATCGTAAATTAAAATTGATTGCGCTTTTGGAAACTGGGTGTTAGTGATGGAACTCTTATTATAAATTGTTACCATGCCACAAATTTTTATCACACAATTCACACGTTAACAAGTTTATGGCTAATTAATGCCAATGTCTCAAGTCAAAGTGTTCTTTGGTTACTGGTAATTTGAATAAAAATAAAATAAATTAAATTTACAGGAAAACAATGTTCGTAGGTACTCAAATAATTAGGTTGTCGAAATTTGAAGTTTCGGCTGTAACAACAGAACCTTTGACGACACTGCTAATCGTTAACTGAAATATAAAGTTTCCCGCCTTTTCCTTAATCAGAGTCCGATTCGCGCTCGACGCCCGAACCCCGCGCTTTTTCCACTGAACCCACTTTTGACACATTGACAGGTGACATTTATTTTTCGAGACGGATGCAAATGGCCCCTGTAGCGGAGTCACGTACTGCATTAAGTTGACAGGGGTCCCCGATTATGCGATGCCGTCGATGTTTCCGCTATTTGTAAACCTTCGTATTTCGCCGCTGAAATAAATGTTATGCCATTACCGTGTACACTTATTCAGTGGGTTCGGTGGAGCTGGTTTTGATTGGATTTGAAGGGACGGATTCTTATCCTTGACGCTCTTACGTCGACTCAAGTTTAAAACAGCAGATTGCAATTTAAACGTTATTTTGTTGTTGTTTGTGCATATGAAAACTGAAAATCGTTTAGGTGTGCCTCGGATTACATTTGAGGCTAAGGGATGACATTTAGGTGTGTGGTAAACTGGTGACATAATTTCACGATCGTATCGATGTATTGAATAGTGAGATATGAAAATGTCCGCTGAGTAATCGCTAATATCACCACGGAAAAGAATATACACAGTTCGATAAAGAAACTTATAATAACACACTTTATGGCCTGGAATGTATGTAGATGGTTAAGCTAAGACTTTGGTAGCTTGCTAATAAACCTTAAAACTCTCTTGCTTGTTTAAGCCACCTAGCTATTCGTTTGCCGTGTCTTTGGCTTACCGCCAACAGATAATCAAAAAGGGTAAACAGAGGAATCTCGTGGGGCCGGGACAAATCGATCGGGATGCCGAACGACTGGTCCATTGGTTTTTGTCACCGGCGACATTTCCGTGGACGGCACAGGTGCGGGTCACGTTCCGGGGTCCCGCGGCAAGTGGCTGCAGTTTTTGCCTTTGGCCCCCAGTAGGCACTTCGCTCGTTCGATTCGCCTCGGTAGCAGGTGCCGGGGCTGCGGTCACGATTTCTCGTTTTTATCGAGAGGCACAAAAAGCTAACGCTGATGTCAATAGGGTCTTCCCAGCTGCAAGGTCAGCGAACTAGGATTCTTATTTGAAACGTGCAACCCCCCCCCCCCCCCCCTGCTCTGGCGGGATATGCGCCGAACTTACCGATGCCGTATGTCGTCCCATAGTATTATTATCATGTGAACGCTATAATACACATTTCTTATATATCACAAAAACTTTTTTTAGATCTGATCTATTATTTCGAACTAAAGTTTGGCATTATCAAAAAAAAATCATTTGCTAATTACTAGGAAGCCCGCCACTAATAGTCGCACTAACCGATGATGATAAACTTCCTGCATTAGCTATATCACCTTTAAAGACGTTGTGCACTTTTACTCATCACGTTAAAAACGTAATGAGTAAAAGTGGATAGCATCGTGTGTGCACCCTGGCATAAATGTGACAAAGTGACCTTGGTAGACTAGATATAATAACAAAAAAATATTTCGAAGATATATGAAATCCGCCAATCCGCAGTGGTGGCGCGTGGTGGACTATGCCCTGATACCCTCTGTACAGAGGAGGCCTTTGCCCAGCAGTGGAACATGTATAGGCTGATACTTTACTTTTTTTTTTGTTACTTTTGAGGGTTACTTTAAATGAAGCCCCTCTCCAAGGTCACGAGACAGGAGACCATTACACCATGAACTGTTCAAAATGTCGGAAATCTAATTTTTATATTTAAAGAGATAAAACAGCTAAATATAATTTCATTTAAAAACGCATAGTATTAGGGTAGCTATGTAGCATTATGTTTTTGCCTTTATTTCACTGCTTTATTTATTGCCGTATTTCACTTTGTTTCAGGTTAAATTATATCAGCGAAAATCGTGAGGATATAGTGACTTTCTTAAAAATTATACCATACTGCTTTTAATTTTTAAAACCTTAAAGGCATATAGTAACTGCACTATGCACTTAGGATCTTATCTTAAGTCGTCCGTAATGCGATTGTTTCTAGTAAAGGAACTCAAATAGGCCGTTAATTGACTTTAAATATGTTGGTGCATCGGATCTATAATTAAGATTTACCGAGTGCGTAGGCATTACGTACTTCGCATTACCTTTACTAAATACAAGATATGTACGCAGTTGCCGCGTCACTACGTAAACACCAGAGTTTTCCTATTGTTTACTCCGACTTAACATTATATTGGCCTTTACACGAAGTAGCAAATTAAAAGGTCGTCGAAATCGTATAACTACGTTTACGACTTTTTAAAATCTCAGATAACTGCCAAAGATATGCCATCTATACCGTATGTGTATGTCATCTTAGATCATTATTGGTTATAGCTTATGTTTTGTTATAGCGTCTAGAAATTCATAGATGGCTGAATCATGGTGCTATCGTTTGTTATCGTTGTTTTTAGCTGATGAAATTTTTCCTTCAAATTATATTTGTTCGAAAGAAAGGTCTCCTCCGACGGGCAATGAGTCGAAAGTATCACAACCCGTTTTTTATAATGCTCAGGTAAATTAAACTATTTTACGGATTATTATGCGATAAGGTCTTTAAAACTGTTTCCTTAAACATATATAACATTCGCGTAAAATCAAGAAACGAATATCCTCAGGTAACTTTGCTGATTAAGTCCGAATAAATATTTGACTTAAGCGACTGTGCCAAATCTCATCAAGGCTGTTGCTAAATGTGCACCATTTAATAATTAAACTTGATGTAACTTCTACACGTCTACGTGCAAAGACGATGCGAGAACAAACAAACTACTCTATAAAATCGGCCAAGTGCGATTCGGTCTCGCGCACGAAAGGTTCCGTAGCATTATCTAAAAAAATGGCAAAAGAATCATGTCTGTTGTATGGGAGCCCCACTTAATTCATTCTTTATTCTGTTTTTTAGTTGTTATAGCGGCAACTGAAATACATCATCTGTGAAAATTTCAGCTGTCTAACAGCCTGCGGAGTCTTAGTAATAGGGTCCCGTTTGGTTACGGAACCCTAATAAAAATGGACAGTTGAGAGTTGAACAAACTTAATAACCGAATTGCCTTGCTTGTGACGACCACTAAAATCAATGTGCGCTCGTTTGTCACCAGTCTCACCGTCCGAATTTCGTGTGCTCTTTCAACTGGTCTAATTGGAGCGCGGCAAAAAATCCGAAACTCATTACTCGCTCAGATCGCGTTTTCGGATCCGAGCATTGCTCTATTTCCGCCCGTGCAGCGTATTATTTTGATGTTTTATAGACCTAAGTGGTCGCTATAAAGAAAGTCAAAACCTCCTCGAAACTGAAACTAGTCATTTGTCCGATTAGGAATAATTTAAATTTTCTAATGTCAAGAGAGAGAGTGAATTTATTTGTATATGAAAGCATTTGTATAGTGCAGATAAAGAGACCGATCTTAAGAATTGTTTGAAAGCTACTTTGCTCGCGATTATATTAAAGATTTGGCATCGAAAATTTGAAATTCAAATCATTGGATTTCATAGACAAAAAAATTCTGTACACGTTTGAATTATGGATAAACGTTGAAATTTCGGAGTCTAGAATTTACATGTCCGTTATATATAAGATTATTTTTATGAGTCGAAACAAAAACCCCGTCTACTATTGCGTTTGCTATTAAACACCGTCTTCGTGTTTGGCCCAAATATGGCCTCATGGACAGCTATGCTCAGTTTTCAGTTCGACTACTAAAAATTATGTTAGGTTGTAATGAATGGCGTATTGTTTTATTTGAAATAATTGAACGAATGAAACGAAGGCGACTTAGCGGACACGGTGATTAGATGCCATGTGGTTGCCGATAGGAGGTCGTGAGACAAACCATAGACAGTTATTGTACAACCGGATTCCGGTCTCTATGTTTCAGTCTTTGGGAATATGTCTTTTTTATCTATCATGAATGTGTTCTTTTAGTAGAATTATTCAATAGCATATCTTTATTTACTTAAATATAATATACGAATCCTCCCACAGACGTTTTAATTTCAAAATATAATGAACGTTAATAATGATCGCACACGCTTCCTTATTCTGTGCTCCAATGTGACGTAAATTGATACGATTCAGATTGTGCCAGTGCCGAGTTGTGCTGAAATGGGCCTTATTCCGTTTAGATAAATGTGATAACCACTCGGCCGGGTTCGGCTCATGGCTTTCACGCATGGCCTGCCACTGGCGGTGAAGGTGTCCTAAGGTTATGAAAAACGAAAAGCGAAAGTAAAAACTCGTACGGGCTCCGGTGACTGGCGGAACAGAGCCCGGCGAGACCGATCGAAGGTCTCAGGGAGTCCAAAAATGGATGGCAAACGCGGCCCCGTAAATATTACTCTTTGCGTGGCGTTGTTGCATCATCCACGCGTCGACCTCAAGGCTCCATAACGGAATAATTATAAATTATTTAATTCATGATCCAATTAATTTAAACTGGAGCATATTGTTTACCCGCGCGGTTTCATAAATTCTCGTTGGACCGCTTGCGGGTGAGATTTCTTTTGGACGTAATTGCTTCGCAGGCTTAACGGGGACCGCGGACGTGTTACAGTTTTATGGTATATTTAATTGAGATTCGGGCAAAATTAACTGTTCCGTGCCGTTCTCGAAATATCGATGGGCGATCATTTAATACGGAATCGCTCGTGACGCCTTTTAAGTATAATAAGTGGTGGGATTGAGGCAGACAGACAGTGTTATGTTTACTCATGATTGCGCTTAATTTTTTAGGAGGTATCCGCGATGTTTACGATCTCCATTCCACTTTAATTTAATAATCGCGAGCAATCCGTTCGCCATTAGCTTGAGATTTTTAAGACGAGGCTTTAATATGATTGACAATGTTAGTATTCCTAAACTGCGCTGTTCTATATTCTGAGGGTGAATGTAGTTTATGTTAATTTAATGCAGTGTATGATCAAGGTATTATAGAATATTCTGAAAACTATAAATAACCCTTATAAAATTGTATTAAATAAATTCAGCTAAAATTCACGACCTCTCTTAATGATCATTGTTTTAACTGTTATAACGACCTGGTCTCTTAATACAGCTTCCTTGATCTTAATCGCCTTTATTTCTCTTTCTGTCATCAGGTTCAATAAGAAGGACAAGGTCGCAATTAAGGGCTTCATGTCGCCAGTATTATTGATTTCGTATAAATCTGAACCCAACTAGGTCACCGACCTTTAAAACAAATGTTGCTTTTATTTTACACTAGATTTAACGCTCCCGTGTGACACCTTTCGAAAATAAATAGTTATGACGGAATATGTTTTATATGTCAATGACACAAATCTTACTCGTAAAAATAAAAATCGTATGAGTTCATTTAATATATAGGCTGAGAGCTACTGTTCCAAATGTCATTTAGATATGCTCAGCCGTTGAAGCGTTCAAACGTTCACAATTCGATTTCGTTTTTGATATCGGAACGATTAGTATAAACAAACCAATGTAAGGAAACGTGATGACACCGAGCGGATAAAAACAAGGTAGATAAATACGTTGAGATTATAGCCGGTGAGAAGATATACCGTTTAACTCAGCGGCTAGATTGTCGGGTGCGCAACGCATAGGACACAGGTTGAAATCCTCGCAGCGGCGAAAAACTTTTTGTCTATTTATTGATGACCCGAATGGCGTAATGAGTAGTGTACCTGCCTTTTGCCCGTGGGTTCGATGCCTACTACTGGAGAAATAGTGTTTTTCTAGTATCTGGGTGTTTAAAGATGTACAATATGTTTTTATTCACAAAAGAAAAGTATTAGTTAGTAATAGTTATCTAGTACCCATAGTACAAGCATTGCTTAGTTAGGGACTAGAGAACGGTGTGACAAAATGTGTCTATTTTATTTTGAAAAAAGTTTTGTGTTATAAATTAACTATCGTGGTAGTAGCCGTACGAGAGACCGTAAAGTAGTAGTAGTATTTATACTTCGCATTGCCCTTGGTAAGGTATTGGTAAGGTGACTTGGTAAGGTGGTACTTGGTAAGGTGACTAAAGGATTTTCCAAAAAATGTTGACAAAGCATCTACACTTCTTCTAATGTTGTGAGAGTGGTAGGTAAATCTATTTCCTATCGAGGCGTTTCAATTGAACACGCGGTTAACGTAGTCGTCAGTGAGGACCGCCATTGTCGTCGGCCATGTGAGAAACACTAACTGTGTGCCCTCTGTATCTCACTCATCAAATGAAGCATCTCACTTCACGCTGGTCATCTGTCACGAGGTACATTTTCAATGGTGCCTCCTTAAGTGAAGCAGGTTTGTTTGCTTTACTTTATTTTATCGAACTAAGAAGATAGAAATACAAATGCTTTTACCAAATCACCGTAGTTTACTTTGCACAATAATAGCACTGGTATAATTACTTATTTTCCCTTTTAAAGTATCACTACTAACGATTTAATTTGTTATACCGATTGGGCAGCACTATCGCGAAAACTTCTTGTTGACAGCCAGAGAAGACCATGAAATGCTTCGGGTAGCTTCATTTATACCACACAGAAAGACACCTCCTTTAGTGTTGCCAACAGATTCGGATATGAAAGCTGTTTTGGATCATAAGGGTGAATAAAAGAAGCCTTATTAACTAACTAGCTGGTAAACGCGGCTTCACCCGCACGGTCATAAGGAATTAACAATGAGTTTTTTTTATTGTATACACCAGAATAGCTCGCAGATGGTAGAATTTTGTCCTACTTACTTGACACTTATCGTTATATTTTGGAAAATTCACAAAATATCTTTATTTATTATAGCCTATACGTTATTCTGGTGTATTAGCTATATTATTGTTTCATTCATCCATTCAGTACTTTTTGCGTGAAAGAGTAACAAACATCCATCGTGACATACAAACTTTCGCATTTATAATATTAGTAAGGATGAGCGCTCGGTGTAGTGTTTTCTTATCCGACGAGCTAACAGTCGCACATCTCGAGGAAAACGACCAATGTCTGCGGGGAAGTAGAAAGTATTTAAAAGGTGCAATTTCACGGGGAGCTGGGCACACGACGCCCAATTCTATTGTGGCGCCGTAATGGTTGACAATTATGAAAGCGTGTGTGCCCGACATGATCGCTGTTTCGACATGTCGCATTTTTCGAAACACGAACTGAGTCAGATTTAAAAAAATAGTATGTGCGCACTTAAGAAGTTATACTTCTTTAGTGCAACAAAATAAACTTTATCCCCTGTGTCAGTACTGTTTGTTTGTGTAAAAGATTTTTTTATTATAGTGATGGTAAGGATAGCTTGATGATTCTGCCAATGTCAAGTTTGAATAAAACAGACTGTTATTGTGAAAGACATTAAATCGATAAGAGATTTATCAAATAACTTCGAATTATAGGTAAATGTAAAAAAGATTGCCGTCGTAATACCGTGTAATTGGGTGCTTAGCAGCCAAGTTCATCATGTCGCTTATTGCCGGTGTGAGCGCGATTCGTAAAAATTTTGTAATATTTTTTCAAACGCCAAAAAAAAATTGTATCTTCAAAAGTTACATATAAACTAAATACGAAGTCCTCAACGAAATGCCTTTACCATCGTTGCCTACCTCTCTAATGTTGTCTTCAGCACCTTTTGCAAGTCGAGGTAGTGTTCAAATCTTTTTTATTGTATTTTAATTTACGTTCATTCTGTTTATTAGGAATAAATGCTCTAAATTAAAAGCAATCGCCATTTAAAGGTATTTATGAGAACTGTAAAAGGCTCTTATACCTGACTTTTAACATTTCATTTTTATGTAATTTAAAGATTTTTTTATTTCGAACAATGTACACATAAGGGTTACGGTACGGGTACGGTTTTCGTTTCACAGTTGTGGGATTGCAAAAAATATTTTTAAATTGTGTTCGGTTTAACTTCAATTTGGATCCATATTAATTCCAATGCTATTCGACCTTGAAGTCATGAAATCCCTCGAAATCAAATAGTAAGGGGATACTTGAAGTCGGTAAAGTTTTTGTCAATAAAAATGCAAGAACATTTTTATATGTTGTAATATAGCTTAAATGATAATGAATTGGCAGATTCTAATCATTTGCGTTAATTCCGCGACGTTCCAACGTTGGACCTCGAGTAATACTGACTCGAATAATCAACGCGTAAGTCCTCCACCTCGTCCTTAGCACGCTTGTAATGTCCCACATAGACGCGGTCGTTTACCTAGCCCGGGTCACACCAGCCCGCGTCTGATCAGAATGCGTGAGCGATCACTTGCTCGCGTTGCACAAAAATCCGTGTTTTGGGGTCACTGAACTTCTTGCGCGCGCCTCCTTAGTTATTCTTTATTTTAAATTCGAATTTAAAAATTTATATTATTCGCCTGATGTTAAGAATTTCTGATTCTTCTTTTGTAATTCCCTCTCTCATGTTCTGAAGGAAGTACTCGTCGATTTGCTGTTTCGACGTGAAATTCGTGATAAGGCGTATAATGGAATTGAGCCGTTGTTACTTGGTCCGGACGCAATGATTCGCGTAACCCTCCGTGTTCGCGCGATATTTTAGCGTCGTGGAGTGTTCGACTTTGCGACGCGGAGTGTCTTTGCGTCGGCCGCTGCTCCTTCGTCGTTAAGCGGGAAACTGGACCGGCGGGATTGACAGTTCCGCTTATTTATGAGGCGGTTAGCGAGCGACAATGCTTCTAATTGACGTTTAATCGCGGCCCGTCGGGGGCTAACGAAGCGGCCGGTGGTGAAACACAACCGCCTCGGCCGCCCATTGTTCATATTGCGTGCGACCCTTGAGGACGAATTCTTGATAATTTCGGTGATATTATGAGAGTTTGAGTCTTGTTAAATGTCGTGCTGATGAATATTTTTATAACAGGACAAAAAGATATTTCATGATACAATTTTTTTTAATGTTTTTTTAGTCACCTGATGTTAAGTTAAGTGAATACCGCCGCCCATGGACATCTGCTACACCCGTGGGTTGCAGATGCGATGACAACTTTTTGAAAATTGGGTTCCGGCTACCTCACTCACGAGACGAAACACGAAAGTATTTATCATACTTCCACTTTACTCCGGTCTTCTGTGAGGTCGTGGTACTTACCTGGACGAGCCTGTCCATTCGTGCAACAACCGAGGCTGCTGCATGGCCCTACCACAGTTAAATATAATACAATATTCTTTCACATCGCTATCTAGTCTCACTGATAAATATACTGAAAATACTTTTCTTTAGATAAGTATATGTTGTATTTGCGATATACTCCCAGACACTAGAAACATACAATATTTACCTGTCATGGAGATCTTACTCACGCTCTCTGGTGTAGGAGACATGTTTATCCACTACGCCACTACGTACACTACGGGTCAAAACTATTATGACGATTCTAAGAAATATTATATGTATATTAATGCAGACTCTGTTACTATGTGCATTTACTTTGGTTACTATTACAATAATGTAATAGTTAACAAATGTATGTAATGACTATAAAGTTACAAATGTATGTAATGACTATAAAGTTACCCTAACACAATTTTTGGATATTAAAATAAGTTTTGTTCCTTTTGCACTTTTAACATATCATGTTATCGGGTTATATGTAGTCTTAAAATACATAAGTACATATAAAACACTATAGATGCCTATTTTCCTTTGTATCTAGAATATGGAAATGTAGCGATGGTAAAAGTATACGATTATTTATTAATACTAAAGTGAAATAAGTAAATTTATTTTTGGGTATCTTGACCGAGTGCTTTACATAAACTTTATTATCAAGTTAAATTAATTGTCAATTGGAACTTAACTTTCCCATATACACGTCTGACATAATTTAGTAATTTGAAAGTTGACATTACGCGGAAATAAATCAGATCCGCGTCGTCCTATTAAATATTATAAACAGGGAGCTTAATTTAAAACTTCTGTAAACGGTTACTAAAGTATCTGTCATTAGTAAAAAGCGAAAACTAGTTCAATCAACGAGTCGGTATTATTGTCATATTAATATGTAACTAAGTCGAACGGAAACGTATAACAACTAATGTTTCTCAATTTACAAATAACTACGCATAAACTTGTCATACATAGCAATAACTTACAAGTGCCAATTTTCTTGTGTAACTGTTACACAAAATGAATTCGGGTTTTATACTGGTCACACTGATCTCTATAAAACCGGAAAGAAGATCAAGAAGAAACTATACACTTTATTGTTAATGGGAGATGGAATGAAATAGAATGAGATATTAGAACTTAATAAAACAATAAGCATACTCACTTTACCAAAGTCAAATACTAATAGTTCATAGTATGCATAAAATTATGCAGTGTTTTGTAGTAACGTTAGGACAACTAATTCTTCATAACTTTATGACACAAGCGGAGTTATGTCAGAGGTTTCATTGTTTCATTTTGATGCAACTACTATTTGTTTTATTTTATAACAAAGTATGTATTTATCTTATAAAATTAGTAAAACTTTACCCACACCCCTAAAATACTCTTTACATTTATGGCTATTCAAAGGTTGCCTGGAAGAAATTGCTTTAAGTAATAAGGCCGCCTATTATACAACTGTTACATAACTGTTTATTTTTAATATATTCTTTTTAACCATGGTGTGTGCAATAAAGAATATTCATTGATTCAACTACGTCTATTGATCAATGTTATTTGGTCTCCACATGTCATCAATTAGCCTTCTATCATAGGGTTGTGTATTAATTATTTAATTACTTACTGTTTTTTTTGCAATCCGATCCCCACAATAACGGTCTATTGTAACGGTTTTATAGTTTTTTAACTTAAAAATTAAAATGATTTAAATTACTAATGATATCGAAACATGAAGTAGTGAAATATAAAAATACAAATGAAAAATATATTTGAAGCGTTCCCATTGAATCTGATTTATCGAACTGGGCTACAATTTCAAAAACTATTTGAAAACAATTTATACAGTTTTAGTTTTTTCATTATTCGAGCTGACGAGCATGTTTTTGAAGTATATATATTTAGAAGCATAGCGCTGCTGCGTTCAGAACGATCTATGTATACGACTAGATCCAGTATTAGAATTTCAAATACTCCTCGCTTCCTCGCGGCTTACGTTTGAAACGACGCGATGCCTTCACGCCTTTACTTATAGATGAAACCGTTTGAAACTTAATTCCCCTCAAACGGAAATCTTCGGGTGCCGGACGCATAAAACATCGACTTATTGCGTGTTTCGCGACGTTACCCGGGGCTCCTTTCTGATCGCATTCGAAAGACTTTTACGGTGACTACGAGATGCGGTGTTGTTAGGCTCTTAACCCCTTCATGAATATCGCGAAAATCAAAATTTTCACATCCATTGTAGCAAATGACATCAATTCTTTTGTCAGTAGTATGAATGTCAAGTGCACTCAATTATAAAACTCAACGGTGAATTACATTACAATTTCAATAAAAAAAATTTATTGATTATTTTTTGTTAAACTAAATTTCTATCCCAATGGTCACGACAACTAGTTGTGCGCAATAATTTCATAGTGGAAACTCTTTGAAGTAAAATAATTTTAGTAGTCGAATAAATTGAAAGTAATTAATAAACTAAGCATTTGTATTAAAGTGGAATAGTATTGTAACACTTTCCACGCTTCATAAATCTAACTTACAAACACGAATGTTACGTAAAACTGGAAAAGGCACACTTAGCAAGTTTAAGTACGAACTGATGTAGATGTCAAAAGATTAGATACGGCACAAATGTTCGCTTACAACTTCAGTTATGCGTCTTATGATCCAGTTTTGTGTAATAATTATTTAGAATTGAAATAGAATCGGTTATTGTTCGACTGACAGATAAAATCGCTTAGAACTATTGATTTGTCTCTTTATTTCGTATACCGGGCCAACATTATTAACTTTTTTGATACAGACCTTGTCATTCGACCTTATTGCTAAGTCTTGTATGATACTGTTATCTAAAAAAACTAAACAAATAGACTACATACATTTTTATCATACATTTGCGTTATTCTAAAAAAGATGAAGATGACAAAATAAATTAGGTAAAACATCTAATAGGGGTAACTGAAGATATAGACGCTTATGTACAGCTTTTACTGCAATTGCGTCGTTGGTCGCTCAAGTCATTACAAATATCTCTATCATAGTGCGATGGCTTAAACGAGAAAAAGAAGACGTGAAACGAACGTGTAAAAGGAATTATTAAAGCTGTAGATGCTTATACATTCGTTACGTTGTCGTCGATCGGACATCGGAAAACGCAACAAACAAATTCCCATGCTCGGTACGAAGTGAAACCGGCGCATTCCTCCGGTCGCGGCATCTCGCGTGCTCTGTTTACAAAATAGCCCGCGAACGCCCCTCTTTGTGTGACCTTAGCGGGAATGGGCTCGGGTTGCCGCCATTATGCGAGCGCCGCCATAACGGACGACTTTATTTGTTTCGGTGACACTCTATCGGCGGAGATGTTTGCAAACAAAGCCGCTTCGGTTAAAATAAGCCGCTCTATTGGAACTATGTGCAGTGTTTGATAATCGTTGTATGACGTAATTTTGGTTAAATATTAATTTTAATGATTAGAACCAAAACTATGACTGCGCAGTCGTAGTGCATTTTGGAGGAAAATCGACGTGAATTTTTTTACCAATATTTTGTTTTTTTTTTTTCATTTTTATGTATGCTTCCATATTTATTGCTTATGTTGTTACTTCGAATGCTTTGTTAGAGCATTTCACGCCTAATTGTTTTCGATCGTTGCTGAACTGAAGTTTCAATTGACCAGCGGTTATTTACATTAATATTCCAAGAGAAAGCAGTTCGTTCCTCTTGGAAGGATATTAACTATTAACTTGTCGATTTCAATACGCCTACCCTCATTTAATTACCGTTGCTTTAATACGTCATCGGCTGCATTGACAGGCAATTACTATCAGATTGTGATGCTTTGAGCTAAGGAACTTTGAGGTTAGTAAGGAAATTCTAATCGCAGCATTCTGTTTTGTTCTCATCATGTGGTGTGACTTGTTTCAATCTATTATTTTTTATTTAAAATGTTGTTTTATATTTCTTCCTTAGACACATTCCAGTACAGACAGTATTATATACATACTTTATAATATCTAGGAATATTTTCATCAAATTTTATCTAGGTTATGTATGTATCAAGGTTACGTACTTCACAACTGTGAGAAAATTGCCATACTATGTGGTAAGGAACACTGAAAAAAAAGTTCTAGGAAGAGCTATTATTGTTTAATATAAATTATAAGTCTAAATTGTATATGTTATACTGCATTTTATATAAGGCGATTAAAATTTTTATTCATTATTTTTTGAGGCAATACTGATCAAACCACCACAGATATACACCTTGCCCCAATTAATAAGAAAAGCTTTAAGATAGTTTTCATTTAACGTATTCAACTTTACCAGTTTATATATGTAACTTTATGAGAGTTGATGAGAATGCTTTAAATCATTAAGTTTACCACTTGCTTTGAATTTGTTGAGTGTATGAACAGTAAATTAGAAAATATATGTAATTTAATCGAAGGACTGTTAAATTTGCATGAGAGCAATGGAATATTCTGAATGTATGTTTTTACGTAGTATTCTGACATTTATGGTTCTTAGTTTATTACTGTAACGGCTTGTTAGTCGGGCAGCGTCAATCAACACGAGTTTGCAGCATCGCCAACCTTGCTCACCTGACCCCGCTCACAGACCAAGTTTCAGGTCGGGCTCGTGTATTTAT